GAATCAGGATTTCATGTTGTTCTATGTTTTTGAATTCCGGTCTTTCTTCTACTAACAGTGTTTTATAGTGTTGTTCCCATTTTTCGGGCTCTATGGAGTGTATGGCTATTTGTTCTGTTCTGTTGGATCTGATGTTTTTTATAAATCTCCAGGATTCTCTTGATTTGCGGCCGCCAATATACGTATCTAATTCCTGACATTTTCTCTCCCAGCTTTGATTTTTTGACTCTATTATCGTGGATTTAAATTTATTTACCATTTCTCTATATTCTCTTTTGTGTTCTTGATCCTTTGTTCCCAACCATCTGTGATATAATTTTTGCTTTTGATCTTTCATTTCCTGTAGTTCATCATTCCACCAATTATTTGTCTTTCTGAGTTTGTTTACTCTTATTCCTAATGCTTCTTTGGCCGCTTGATGTATTCCTTTTCTTATTATGCTATGTAACTCTTCTGTTGTTTTATGTTTAAATTCCTGTGGTAGTTGTTGCTCCAATCTTTTTTTATACAATTCTCTAGTACTATCGTTGTCTAAACTTGTTAGATTATACTGTAGTTGTTCACCTTCTGCTGAGTGATTTTCATTTAGATTTTTGTTTTGTTGGTGTTTACCGTTTCCGCTTAGCGGTAGTATCATTTTAGCTTTTACTAGATGGTGGTCACTTCCACATTCGGCTCCTCGAAATACTCTTACGTCATGCACTTTTATTTTAGATTTTTGTTTCATTATTAGGTAATCAATTACTGATCTTAAGTTTCTTGTAGGCTGAGTCCATGTATATGTATGTATTTCCTTATGTTTGAAATACCCATTCATGATCCTTAGTGAGTTGTGTCTACACATTTCTATTAAGTTATTGCCATTATCGTTTGTAGTGTTTTCTCCATATGGTCCTATTGTTTTATCTTTTATTCTTCTACCAGTTCTTGCGTTGAGGTCACCTAGTATAATAGTTTCCCTTGTTTGACCTATTTGAGAGATAGTTTCATCTAGGACTTCATAGTATTTTATTTTTTCTTCTAGGCGTGCATCATCATTCGGACCGTATGTGCCTATTATTGTTATTTTTAATCCTTTCAAGTTGAGGTTGATCTTTATGATTCTTTCATTTATTGCTTGCCAGTTCGATATATTCTTTTTGTATTTCTTCAATATAAGTATTGATACTCCTCTTTTGGCATGTTCTTCCTTATTAACTCCCGTGTGTATATGTATATATCCATCAAGATTTTGGGTTCCTTGTCCTTTTTTCTTTGTTTCTGAGAGTACAGCAAAATCCATTTTATGTTTTTTCATTTCTTGGATAACATCTTCGATTTTATTTCTAATTCCTTGTGTATTCCATGTACCACAAATCAGTGTCCGTTTTCGTTGCCATTGTCGTCGTCCTTTAGTTCCATCCATATCCCGAGGCTTGGTTTCGGTATTTTTAGCATTACTATTTTTTCCAAGAATGAGTTGCTGGCCCATTGCTAAACCCCCTTGCTAGGAGGACCAGAATTTTCTGTCGGGGTTTATTCCCTTAGCCTATAAATAACTCACTCCGCTGGCAGACGTGTTAGCGAGTGGGGGGGGGGATTAGGTAAGGAATTTGGAGTTTAGGTAGGATAATATTAGGGTTTGGGCCTGGTTTCACCTAAATAGGGAGTGGAGGAAAAACCAGGAGCTCGCGTGGGCAGGGACGCTACCTCCCTGAAGTAAGTCTACCCTCTATCGGGACCATAAAGGGGTACCTACCCGCTACCCGCGGTTTTAATTTTATATAAATCAAATACGAAATCTTGCAGATCCACACCGCCCATGTACCTGTTACATTGTTGTACAATGACTGTGCAATCAATTTCTTTCCTAGTTCTTTCGGTGCGAAAGAATCTTTTCACTTTGGCTGTTGATGGAGATTCACAATAATCTGACAGTAAATTTTGTTCTCACACCCTGGACTGTATGTATTGCAGTTTTCTTATAAGTACCAGAGTGTTCTTGAATGCTTTTTCTTTGTAATTTTTTAATTTCTTTCATTTGCCAATCTTTATAATTTAGAATTCGATTTGTACGGATTGTTACGATAGAATGTATGCCTCGTTTTGATAAATATGACACCAGTAATATACTTGAAAAATAATTATCGTAAAAGATGAAAAAGACAGCAAATATTTGATTTCGCGCAAACAAATCCTATGTATCTGTTGATACGTATTTCGACCTAATAGGTCTCATCCAAACAGCTATTCATAGGAGTTCTCAACGTGAAAAATCAATATTTTCTGCCTTTTAAGAAGCAACAATAAAATGGATTCAAAACGGACGCGATAGTGACATCTAATTACAAATCCGTAAAATAGTTTCGAAACACAGAAATCTGAATTGTGTTCTTCCACAACTCTATCAGGAAAAGCAGCTAAATGGATGGTTCAATAAAATAAAAAGTCCACAGCTAATGAAATGGTTAGTAGTTGCCTCCTCATAGGCACGGATAGTTATTTTCTCATTTTTTACTTCAATATGTTGTACTGATTACACTATCATTAAAATTAGGCATATTTCTCTACTGTTTTGGTCTTGAATTACAACAGAAGTTTGTCTTTTGCTTTTTTTGCACATTGCACATAGGAACTATAAAATTTATTTGTTCGGCTTTCTTTGGTGATACTTCCAGTCTGTTATTTTTTTGGCATATGCTAAACTTGCTATCATTTAATTAGTACAGGTATCTGTTATAAATCCTTTACCAAGATCTTTCAGGTTTAGTAAAGCATCGCACCAGCAACATGTTTTCACACTGCTCTGTATCGCTTGCCAACAATACATTAAAATAATGCTTCAGTAATACTTTCATCCATTGAGAGGACTAGTTTTTCATTGTATGTAAGTGCTTTGTAAGTACTGTAGTTTTTTCTATGGACTGCGGCACACATGCTCATTCCTTCTGCTAACTTATAAATACATAGAAAACAGTTATTTATGTCGACGAAATTTATTAGAAGATTTTCTGAAGAGTAGTGAAATCCACAAAGTGTCCATACAATGTCATGTCGAAAATTATTATTTCGATCATATGCCGCCCAACTTATAATATAATATAGAATATCTAACCAGTTTCTGGACAGACAAAGCAATGAACTTCTGGCAGAGACACAGAATCTTTTATACATATATCAAAAGTAATGATTTATAACGGTTTTGTTTTTAAGGCAGCACAAAACTGTATTCAATGTATGGTAGGTAGCTAAAATTACCATATTTTAGTTACATGATAGTATCAGTTCAAATCAATACTCAGACCACTATAAAAATTTCTGTTATGGTCTGAGATATACCAATGAAACATTAAGACGATGTTAACATATAGTTTACTTTTCGATAATGTCTTCCTTTTTTCCAGTAATTCTCGCATTTCTTTTCAATTCTTTTATCAAGTGCCAAATAGACCAAGATCCGTATTTTTCTGTCATAATTTATTAAATCGCAATAATTACAACAAAAATATTATGAAAACCCAAAGAATTGTTAAAATGTGTTGACCTCCAACTACATTACTAGTACAAGGGGGCCAACCCCCCCTGCGTTATCCCCCGTACAATCCAAAATTCTTATATGACGTCTTAACGTCAGTTTGTTTAAACTAGTTTGATCAAATATTTGACCCTCTGACACGGGCCTTATAGCGAGAAGACTTCCAAAGAGAATTGAAGTACTATTATAAAAATAATATCTTAATCAATCATGGGAACTTATAACCCGACAAGCGAGAGCTGGCGGGTTGCGCGTAGAAGAAATTGAAAAGTGTTCACCGTTTAAGTCATGTACATCGTGTACATCGTGTATAACCGTTTAAGCACCTATACTATATACCTATAATCGCGATTAAGTACCTCTCCTATCTCTCTTAGAATAATTCCTTTTCTATTTTCGAGCAGGTCACCCGCCAGCTCTTGCTTGTCGATTATACCGTCTATGCTTTGCTTAGTTCAGTATCTCAAGTGTAAGTTCGTATTGTCTTAATCAAAGCACGAACTCTTAGCTGATAGCAAATAAAACAATTTTTAACTAATCATATTTATTAAAAATATGAAACAATTAATCCTACCAATGCTTTATAATGAATACAGTGAGGAAGATACTTATGGCATCAATGGGCTGCTTTTGTGTTCTCCTAATTAGGTCCTCCTGAGCTGCAGTTGTTCCATAAAATATTTTAGGAATACTCAGTTATTCCATTTATAGTGTTTTAATAAACTCCCAATAAACCCAAGAGAATGTTCTATACCATAAAAATAAAACTTATAGTAATTTTTGTCTTCTATAAATTTCAAAAACAGGCAAAAAATTATACTCCCACTACGTTATAAAAGTTGATTGACAGAAAGTAGGGAAACTAAACGAAGTTAACACAGATGTCATAGGATGTAGGCTTATGATGGAATTAGCTTTTCTGTCAACATAGAACACAATATTTAGTCTATCGGACAGGACTGGAGAAGGCGAATATTTATTCTAACAGAAAAAAAAAGGAAACGAGCTAAAGTCTCTATTCGGAAAAGAAGATCTAGTCAGATATATAAAGGCCAATAGACTCAGATGGGCAGGACATGTGATACACAGTAACGACAATCGCCTTATAAACAATGTGTTCTGGGAAAGGTCAGATGGAAGAAGGTCTGTAGTGCGGCCTAGAAAAAGGTGGAAAGATGCAGTCAGAGAAGATCTAGAGAAGATGGGACGTGCGACAATGGGAATTACTGGCACAGGACCGACAAACATGGAAGGCAATAGTAAACGCGGCAAAGACTCACGAAGAGTTGTAGCGCCATTGATGATGATGATTACAATCTCGTTTTGATTATTCTGGTTTATACTGGAATGTGCCAAGTAAAAAAACATTATTATATTGCATTAGGTAATTTTTAATAAAAATACATTTCACTGATTTTTTTAAATTACAATAAAACTGTAACTACGAGTAACATCTAATAATAATAAAAGTATATAAGATTACATTTTCTAATTCAATTTTTGTTTTATGCAGGCGATGGAACTAAATGTTTAAATCTCATAGGAACTCCAACTTTGGATTGTAAAACAAGAGATTTGGGCTCAAACTCCAATGGATCGGGAGTAGATTCACATTTTTCTACTTCGAATTTCGTTAGCGTATATATCAGTGCGAGTTTAGCAGACATTAGTCCAAATCGTTCACCTAAAAGCAAACAATAAATCGGTTAATTTTATCTCGTTTTGATGTTATTCTATTTTATTCTCCAAATAGTTTTGTTAAATAGCTTTGTTTTTTTTTATTTTAACAAATATACCCGCATCAAACACTAAGGGATATTAGCGGGGGGACATACACAAGCAGTAAGATACATATTGTTACAAAAAAAATATTTTTTACAATCTGGTATATAGTTTAGTCATTTTAAGATAACTTAATAAAGACTGTAAATTTGACGTTAGTACACTTTTTAAATTGTCACTAAATGGACACGCGATTCTTTCGTTATCTTCCCTGGCACAAATATTATAAATAACACAGAAATATAAAGTATAACTTATACTTACCTATGCATATTCTAGGACCTTCTCCAAACGGAAAATACACCAAACCATTAGTATTGTAATTCGTGTCTTCAAATCTTTCAGGGTTATATTTCGTCGGTTCAGGAAAATATGTTTCATCGTAATGCAGACCAAACATGGGAATGTAAACGCTCGAGCCTTTTTCAATTACAAGGTCCGTTCCAGGTATAGTATAATTACTCAAACATCTTCTATCCAGAAACGGTAAAACTGGGTATTTTCGTAGTGTTTCTGAAATATGTAAATTTTAATATTGTAGGATTTGGTAAGTACTAAAAATATATAGTGTTTGGAATTTTTTTGTAACCTGTAGTACTTATTAGTTGTAAATTACATTTTTTTGATGAACCGCTCTAAAACATTTATTCTACATAGGTAAAAGAAATAATAAATAAGACTTACTCATAATCAATTTAATTTAACTATCTAGATGACCGGTTTCGCTTTCTACAATATGCAAAGCATCTTCAGGTCTAGATACAAAGTTAATTAAATGCTGAAATAATAAAACCCATATTAGAGTGTACCCATATTTTGAAAAACTACAGACATGTAATATTGGCATAATTACTTTAATTTATACCATTTATATATGTTTATTTTTATAAGACAACACTCTAATATGGGTTTTATTATTTCAGCATTTAATTAACTTGTATCGAGACCTGAAGATGCTTTGCATATTGTAGAAAGCGAAACCGGTCGTCTAGATAGTTAAATTAAACTGATTGTGAGTAAGTCTTACTTATTATTTCTTTTACCTATTTGAAATGGACTCACCCAAGTAATACATTCATGATTTATTCTAAAGTTTCCCTGAAGCAAGTACTAAAAAATAGAAAGATTTTAAGCCATTAATGTGGATACAGAAAATCCAACTCGGCTGTATTCAGTTAAAATCAAATCTAGTACCATTAAAAGTATAAGAAAAATATTGGTCAACTTTATGATATTTGGTATATAGAACGATTTCATTTTTGCCTATTAGACTCGCATTCTAACAAGGCGCGAACCAGTCAAAATGACAGATTACCTGACTAACTATTACTATTACACAAGTTTTTATCGTGCCTGTACACTTCCTAATTTATTATACAAATAAAAAATCATTTTCGAAAGTCGATGCTGAAGAAATCTTATCCTGCATCTCAGATAATTACTTCTTTCTCCCACCCTGGTTTGTTTGACCTGCGCTGTAGAGACAGTACCTTTTGCTAAAGACGAACAAACCAAAAGTCACAAACTGGAGCTGGTTTCAAACAACTAGTACTCACAAAAGAGTCAACTTTTACTTATTGCTCCAAGTTCTACATCCTGTTAACTGCATCGCCGTGCAATCCTAACTAACTAAGGGTAGCCAGATATGGCAAAAAAATTAGGAAAGCAGTAGTTAGCCTCATAAAACTGACCATGGGCGAGAAGCGAAAACTTCTATGGTTGTAAATCAGACAGCAAACGGCAGCGTGGAATCCACTGAAAAGCATTATTGCACTTTATTACTTTAGAAAAAGAATCATGGCCGTAGAAAAAATAAAGGTTTCATAGAAGATATTTTAAATAGTGAGCAGTTGTTAGGAATACCCACGAGAACAAAAGCAAAAATAACATAAATTGACTGTGGAAAGCTAATGAAAACACAAATGTTAAAAGAATTTATATGCCGTGAAAGATTCAAAACACAAACCGGGAAATGTGTAGGATGAAATTCTTATCTTGGGCATTGGTGAAGGCAAATGGCAAAAGCGAAAAAGTTCAAGTAAACAATTATAAGCTTAAAATGGGGTAGGTCCCAGGAGTTGGCTATATACTATATTAGTTAAAAACTCTGACATCGAAATCAAACCTGCTGTTGTTTGTGGTATAATAATGTAATAATATAATTAAATTAAAAATCCAAATGGATTATAATAATAGCTCAGAACGTTTTCCTACTTATCAGTCCATCGTAAGTCAACTTTGGAGTACCTGCGCCACTAACCGCAAAACCAAACAGTGGTTGGGTTTAAATTGCAGATAACATACATAAGAGTATTAAATTGGACGGCTTTATACTGATGAAAATAAATATACCTATCTGGGTATGGCTTGGTCCCTACTCGAAATAATATTCTCAAGTTTACTTGGCAAACACTCGCATACCAGTTCTGATGTAAAATTTCATTTCCAAATGGGATATATGGTTTCCAGATTATCGTATTCATTTTCATCGTCAGTATGCTGTCAATATACTTTAAGTACGTTTTCTGCAATTTAAACCCAACCACTGTTTGCTTTTGCGGTTATTAGTGCAAGTACTACAAAGTTCAATGATGATGGACTGATAAGCCCGAAAAACGTTCCGAAATTTTATCATAATCACAGATGATGCCGGAAGTGATAAGAGAGTCTACTTCAATTACACTTTTCAAAGTACAGATTTTTCTTAAAAAAAATCAGCAATTAAGAAAACAGTGCTGTGAAATACAACAGACTGAAACTCACTAATCAGGTAATAGAAGAAAAAGGGGGATTGCAGCAATTTTCACAAGATTCATCATCATCTTTGGCTCGACAATCCTCTGTGGATCTTGGCCTGCTCTAAGATTCGTCGCCATTCTGTTCGGTTTTTGGCAACATGTTGCCATCTTCTGATTTTTAATATTCGTAAGTCGGTTTCTACTCCATCTAACCACCTAATTCGCGGTCGGCCTTTGCTTCTTTTTCCTACAGGTGTTCCTGTGGTTAGCTTTTTAGCAATGGTATTTTCTGGCATTCGTATTATGTGTCCAGCCCATCTAAGTCGCTGTGTTTTAATGAACGTTATGACATCTGGCTCATCAAAGAGCTGATACAATTCAAAATTATATCTTCTGCGCCACTGCCCTTGGTCGTTTACAGCTCCAAATATTTTGCGGAGTATTTTACGCTCAAATATTCCCAAAAGTCTTTCATCTTTCTGCGTTAGAGTCCATGTTTCTGCTCCATATGTGAGGACCGGCCTCAGCAATGTTTTGTATATAATAATTTTAGTTTTTCTTTGAATGTTTCTTGAGTGGAAATGCTTTTGGAGTCCATAGTATGCCCTATTTGTAAGATTTATTCGTCTTTTGATTTCTTCGCTTGTTTTATTGGTAGCAGTCAATAGCGACCCAAGGTAATGTGAAGTTGTCAACACGTCCAAAGGTATGACTTCTAAAGACTGTTTCTCGTTCCTCATTTGCTATCGGATCCTTTGTAACCAACATGTACTTGGTTTTGTCTTCGTTGATGACTAGACCGACCTGTTTCGCCGCTGTTTCCAATTCTAGGAGATATTGCTCAACATCTCGCTTGCTACGCCCTACTATGTCAATGTCATCAGCATATGCTAAGACTTGTATCGATCTATTGTAAATAGTACCGCCATCCCTAATTCGTGTATCTCGGACTGCCTTTTCTAAGGCAATATTAAATAGGAGGCAAGCCAGAGCATCTCCTTGTCTGAGTCCATCCTTTATCTCAAAGGATCTAGAACTCTCTCCCTGTATTCTAACAGTGGCTTCTAAGTTAGACATTGTCATTCTCGTTAGTCGGATAAGTTTCTCTGGTATACCAAACTCATGCATTGATTGGTATAGCACTGTTCTCTTGACACTGTCGTATGCGGCCTTGAAGTCGACGAATAGGTGATGGGTTTCAATATTGAATTCTAATGTTTTCTCGAGAATCTGTCTTATTGAATGAATCTGGTCAATTGTTGATTTTTCTGGAGTGAATCCAACTTGATATTTACCAATTATGCCCACTGTGTAAACTTGCAACCTTTCGTAGAGAATATTTGCTAGTATTTTGTAAGCAGTTGTTAACAGGGTTATACCTCTATAGTTGTCACACTGGAGCTGGTCACCTTTTTTATGTAACGGGCATATCACGCCTTAAGACCATTCACAACGCATGGTCTCATTATGCCAAACAAGAAGTAAAAGCTTATGCAGTGTCTGTAGTAGGGCATCGCCACCATTCTTGTAGAGCTCACTGCAAATTTGATCAACTCCTGGTGATTTATTATTTTTAAGCTTTTTAATGGCTTGGGCAACGTTTTCGATGGTAGGTGGTCTTTCGTTTGGGTTGAAAGGATTCCAATCATTTCGATTTGCTAGGGTGTTATCTGCTTCTTCGATATGATGGCCATTAAATTTTGCATCGAAAAATTCAACCCATCTGTTTAGGATTGAGGCTGTATCATTTAGGATGTTTCCTTCTACATCCTTACAGCTCCTTATTCTTGGCTTAAACTCTTTGCGCATTTTGTTTAGATTTCTGTAGAACTTTCGAGTTTCATTTTGATTTCTTAGCCATTCTGTGCTTTCCAACTGCTTTTGCTCAAATTGTCTTTTTTTTCTTCTATATAATCGTTTTTCTTCTCTTCTTAGTGTCCGGTATTCTTCCTTTGCTCTTCTTGTGCATCCAGCTTGATTTGTCTTTAGGTATGCCCTGTTTTTGTTATCTGTTGCTTCTTGGCACTCCTTGTCAAACCATTCGTTTTCTTTAACTGGTTTGGTTTTCCCCAATATTTTTGTTGCTTTCTCAGGTATTATGTTTTTACATTTCACACGATTCCAAAAACAAAAAAAAAATATATTAAAAGAATTGATCGTAGGTAACAAGAAAAAAAACTGGATAATGGAGCAATAATGATATTTTTATAAACAATACGGAACCCCATATACTAAATGGATGAAAACAACAAAATTTGTAGCCAATCGATGTATTTAATTTTTTTTTATAAAAAATTCATGAACTAGTAAAGAAACAGTAAGGTACGCTAATTACTATTTAAATGGGAAATAAGCCACAATTAAAGGTTAAATTAAGTTTATTAATGTTTCAATTTCCACTTCGGAAATTGTTCTAGAACGGAAATTGAAACGTCAATTGACTTACTTTAACCTTTATTTGTGGCTTATACAGAAAATACTTTGGTATCAACGTAATACGTTGTACTAAAAAACCAATTAAGCGTTCTAAGTTCAACCCCCAATTGACCATCTAAATGAACGTTTTTATCAATATTTCCAACCAATGAACGGAAGTTTCTCAGTGGTCAAAGCCATGGAGCTGTATTATGGACATAATTCAATAAGGTCAAACTCAGACAGAGTGGCGTGCGCCGCGTCGGCGGCCGCGTTAAAAGCGGTCTCTCGTCTTCGGTACTTATGTTATGCAACACAGACAAGCCGTCGTTCGTCAGCTCGCGCGTGGCCTATGCTGAGTATCATGCGCCATCGGCGGTTTTATAACTTCCGGCGGCACATCAATTAATAGATATCTCGTGCTTCAACATAGACGTGTGACTGTTTTGCAGCGGTTTTATTTGGTTACTTTTGTGAGTGTTTGCCAAATTTTGTATATATTATGGAAGCTGTAGTCATCGATAAATTAAATACCGAAATTTACAATCTGCCAGCCATTTGGGTTATGCGCTCAGATAATTATTCGAATAAAATTAAGAAAAAACAAACTTATAAGAGGTTACCCACAGTTTTATTTCGAAAGATGCTTTTCTGGGCAATCTTTAATTTTATTAACTAACGTGTAAAACGTTCCTTTATTTTTTCAATCATTTACTATAGAATGTATCCAGTACCTGCGTTTGTTCTTCTTCTTTGATTTAATATGAAATAAACTTGCACTTATTAGGAAAAACAAATCGTCGTCACTTTCACTAGATGATTCTAGAGACATCATTATACCATTCTACGTCCAAAACTCGACTAAATTTGACAACACCGAATACAATGTCAAAACTACTGCCACTGTTAAACCGCCTCATGTGTTTGAAGCCGAGAGGCAGCCGACGAAGCGCAGACGCGGCGCAAACCGCCCTGTCTGTGTTTAGCCTAAAGCAGTTTATTCGAAGAAAATCCATCCGTCACAGATATAAATTCTGGTGCGTTGAGACCAATATAGGTTACCTTGCAAAATTTCATTGCTATACTAGAAGCGGAGATAAATTTAGAGGGTAACTCGTTAGAAAGTTCCGTAACTAACAGGCTGTGTACAGGGTGTTTACTACAAGAATCTGTTATCTATATTGATAACTTCTTTACATCTTCACATTTACTGACAAGGTTGAGAGATTAAACGATACACTCTATTGGCGCAACAAAAAAGACAGGATTGAAAAAACCCCACTCAAAGATATAAAAAAGCAAATTCGTGGAACTTCCCTCGCTTTAATAGCGATGAACATTAGCTCACTATTGTTTGCTAGAATGACAATATTGAAGTTAGTATGGCAACTAATATTTCAACTCCAAAATATTTACTATAGAAAACTAACAGATGGTCTAGAAAAGACAGAAAAAATTATAGCGGCCCCTCAACCAAACGTTGTGCAAATGTACAACAAGTGAATGGGTGGTGTAGAATTATTCGGTAAGCTAAGAATTCGAGTTCAATCTAAAAAATGGTCTTGGGCGATATTTAAATTTTTCCTGAATGAAGCAATAGTCAACATGTGGCTTTTTTAGCACAACATTGAGGCAATTTCTCTATTAGAATTTTACAGGCGCATTGTGAAGGCTTTGCTGACAGCTCCAGACATTTCAACGCCACGTGGTGTACGTCTAAAATCTTAAACACATGTTGCTGACGAAATTTATTTGAACAATGTGGTTTATTTGGTGGAAAAAATTTAAAAAACTACAAAGGTACGGCAAATTTGGCAAATGTGCCAAGCATCAATGCATTAAATGTAATGTAGGACTTCATCCCGAGTAAAGTTCTGTCAAATATCATAAGTTGTAAAAAATTTAAAATAAATAATGTTTTATGCAATAGTATGTCCGTTCATTGTTCAGCGTATGATATATTATACGTTAAAAAAGACAGTACAAGGAAAAAAAACGTAAATTTTACACATTGCTCTTATAAACAACCTTTCTTTATTTTATTCTAAAGTTTTGATTTCGTTTTCATAAAAATTAAATTTTGGGCATGAATGGGTTAAATGTATTAACAATACATAATACAGTCCATCTAATTTATTTACCGTTGCACGTCATTATCATTGACAGATATCGAAGTTGGCATAGTTGCCAAAGTATAAAAAAATCCTAAATCCACTTTACATCAAATAGGTTACGTAATTATTGCAAAAGTGGATTATACAACATATCAAATGAATATTTAATGGAAATAAATAGAAAAAAAATAAGAGTTTTACTATTAATTTTATTTATTAAATAGATAAAAATATAAAACAAGAGGTATTTTAAAATTCAAAATAATAAAGTACAAAAAGTATCAACAACGCAACTGTCAAATAAGTGTTAACAATTTATGCCAAAATATCACCTTCGTTCGATTGCAGTTACATATGTTCCGAACAAATGTTCTTTATAAAAACGCTGTATAATGCATTTATACAAATTAAATAAAACATATTTTGTGTATTTTTTTAAGTTGACATTAATAAAAACTTTAAATATTATTTCTACGCGTATATAATAAAATATGTCTAGTGGCTGTAATGCCAATATACTCGGCAAAGTGATTATAAAAAAGAACACACCTACCGCCTAAATATTTCGTGTTGGTATCATGTGACCTCACGGATTATGACGCGGATGACGTGCAACGGTAAGTAAATAAGATGAAGTATACATGGGTATAACACACATAATAATGTGTAGTATATTCGCCATTTCGTTTTTTGCAATTTCAACTTTGAAAATGCCAATCAAAAAACGATTTCATATTTTGGTCATCTTTTCAGGATTTTCGACCACATTTTCGAGGTATACCGAGCGGTGAGACGTAGTTACTTAGGCTGTCTAATAAAACAGGTATTTATGGTACAAAACGAAAAAAAATAGAAAAGTACGTACCTTTAATGCACAGATCTAAATACTTCATTTGCATAACACCTTCATACGTTATTCCCTTATTCTCTCTTATATTGGCGAGAATTTCGCTTCTTAGTTTATTTTGTATTGTTTTATTCAGACACAGTTCGTAAAGAGTAAACGAAGTGGTCGAACTTGTAGTCTCAAAACCAGCAACGAAAAATTGCATACTTGATCCCTGAATTGACCCGATATCTGTAACAATACGTTAATTTTGTTTTTATTATGTATTTTAAACAAGTAAAAAATATATTAAACCCAGAAATTTTATACAATAATTTAATCATATGGATGGAAATACCTGTAATAAAAATAATTAGTTGTGGAAAATAAAGCAAACAAATGGTGAGCAAATAAAACTCTCCAACTCTAGCTGTAGCTTTTCCCAAATTATCACAATATTCATTCAGTGGTGAAGGGATTCCATTCTTTGGCTCCCATTAAGACATACTATATGAATATACAACTGTTGTAGTAATTTCTTCATCTATTTCAATTGTTTAGTTATACAGAACAAGCTGGAAGACTGTAACCATTCTTGTAAAATTTATTCCGATGGCTCAAAATCGCCTGCTGGTGTTGGCTATACCATTTACATAGACAATATTATAAGATTATTTTTAGTACAAGTTAAAATCAGATTGTTCAATATTCATAGCTAAATTGGTACCTATTGCCAAGGCGTTGGATTGGAAAAGTAATAGCACATTTTATTTCGAACGATATATATTTTATCTGACTCACAGTCCATCCTCCTCGCATTAAGACAGTTCTCTAAACAAATATATACCAACAGACTAATTGTAGATGCGCTTAAAAAGTTGAGGATCCTAACTTCTCTAAAAAGAATTGTTAATAAAACTTTGTGTGAGTTAATGAAAAAGTCAAGACGCTACTTTAATGGGTATAGAATACAACGAGTTTCCAAAATGGGATTTAGTTTTAGCTAGGAAGAAACATGTTAGACTTAATTGGGAAATATAGTTGGATATATATTGCAGTATATATCCAACTCTTTCATCTACTCCCTCAAATGACAGAATCTCGATCTCTCGGGAAATTTATACTATACACGTTAGATGCCTTTTTGGACATGATACAGCAAACGCTTACCTATATAAAATAAAACTTTCTGAAACTGATGTATGTGAATGTAATGGCAGTTATGAGGACCTTAACCACTGAATGTTTTAATGTCGGTATAATCAAGAAGCCATATAATTTTTATTTCAACCTATCTCCCAACAAAAAACCATACTGCCGCAGAACGTTGCTACTTCTATTGTCTATTTAGGTAGTCAAAATCCAACTATTAGATCGATTTTATGGGAATATTTTGAAAGTACCAGACGGAAAATCAAACTGACTTTTTTAGTGTTGTGTTTCCCATTATATTTCCTTTAATGTCATTTACCTTTAACCGTTGCTTGTCATCATCATCATCATCAACAATTAGCCTATATTTGTCCACTGCTGAACGTAGGCCTCCCGTAAAATGTTCCACCTATTTCGATCTTGAGCTTATTGCATCCAGTTTGTGGTGATGCGCTTGATATCATCCGTCCATCTAGTCGGTGGTCGTCCTTTGATTCGATATGCATCTTGCCTTGGTTGCCATTCCAGAATCTTTCTGGTCCATCTATCATCCGTTAATCTGGCAACATGTCCGGCCCAAGCCCGTTTAGCCATGGCTCTTTTTTCAACTGCAGCTGTGACTCTTGTTCTTCTTCTTATTCCTAGGTTTGGTACTTTATCTGATGGTAATACCTAATATTGATCTTTCCATAGCGCGTTGTGTAACTCTTATTTTATCTATTGTTCTTTTTGTGAGAGTCAGTGTTTCTGCACCATATGTAAGAACCGGTAGAACGCACTGGTTAAAAACCTTTTTTTTTAAACAAACTGGAATACTAGACTTGAAAATTTTATTCAATCTACCAAAGGCAGCCCATGTGAGACCTATCCTTTGTACTTCAGTTGTCTAATTATCTCAGCCTAAGAGAATCTCATGCCCTAGATATTTGGAAGCTATTACTTGGTCGATGGTATAGCTCTCAATCAGAATTTTACTGCTGACTACAAGGTTGGTCATAAATTTTGTCTTTGAGGTGTTAATTTTAAGACCAATTGGTTTTGACACTTTATAGAGCGTGTCTAGCATTTTTGTAGCTTTATCAGATATTAAAACGTTGCCTGTATTGTTCGTGTAAAAATAAAGTCGCTGTAAAAGGCATCTTAGCGTGTAGCATGTGTTCCTCTTTAATCCTTTTTGTATAGTGACCCAATAGTGTTTTTAATTGAAAGGTTAGGAAATTGAGTGAATAAACGAGCGATTGGAAAATGCCAGAAATGAATTTAAAGGAAATGTATGAGTTAATTGTTTTTACGTATTTAACTAATTGTATGGCAAAATAGGTCTTAAACCTAAGGCCAAAAAACTAATTAATAAAAGAAATTCAGCATCAAACTAAAAAAGATTATTTTAACACTTACCTTTATCTATAGCTCCTTTACGTTCCATATCTCGTAAAATGTCGATAAAATCATTTTTCCTAATCTTAGATTTTTCCCGGGCCTCATAAGATTTACCAAAGCATTCAGTGAAATGATCTATAATCCATTGGTCAAAGAAATTGATTTTAAAAAACTTAACAATTCCTGGTGTAGAAAAATATGCAGTTTGAGTTAATGCTGTTTTTACACTAAAATCAAACATCGCTCGTCCTAAAACTCTGAACAATGCATTTTCGTTATCAAAGCAATGAGGATTAATACCCAAAAAACATTTTCCTATTACATCTGTACTATATTTTGCCATAACTTCTTTTGCTTCCAAAACCGTTTGGTTTTTATATAAATATTTTTGAAGAGTCTCGCCTAAAAACAGTAATTTTATTTATTAATACTTTTTTTGTATCGCCGTCCCAAAAATAAAACTTTCGGTATGATTTATTAAATCGAAAGTACAATTTTACACAATTCGTACCGAAAGTAGCTATTTTCGGGACTAATTTTTTCACTTTCGGGGAGATTTTGGGTAGCTAGGTAACGGCTTTGACAATAACATCAACTTTGTATTTTATTATGACAACGCTTGTCATTTAAGATTCGTGTGTTTTCGCTGATCTCGATAAATGACATTATTTTTTTAATTGTAAATTTAAAATGTTTTATACGACCTCATCTCTACAGCTTTTATAATAAATCGAGGACAACTAAATCGATTAGGTCAATTTTGGTTTTGAAATATTTTAAGTCCTAGGAAGGTCAAATATGTGACAAAATACGATGAAATTATAAGGAAAATAGAAGAAGCAACGGCTTTATTTTCCCATACTGTAATGAGGATATTTTACCTACCACATGAGGTATTAATACAAGGGGTAGAAAGTTGGAGACTGAAACTAAGGGGGTGGAGAAGTGGGTCGTGGATAAGTAAATGGCAAGGGGGTTTGGATTGGGTCAACTACAAAAATATGAAACCAAAGGTCGTCAATCTCTTGGAACAAACAAAGCAAAAAGAAACAGGAAACACCTCAAGTAATTTAATATAGGGCGCCACTTTGAGGTGCCTAATTATACTTATTACAACCACTAGTTGTAACTAGGGAAATTATTATTAAAGATCAAAAACATATCTTTTTCAAATAAAACTCAAAAAAAGGGGTTAGTTAAGTAATGGTCAAGTAAGAATTTAGATCCATACCTGAGACTACGACGACCCAAGTAAGAATTGATCCACACCTGAGCTTACGCGTCCCAAGTAAGAATGACGAAATTCTTTTAAGAATTCGTTCACTTAACTTGAAAATAAACAAACGCTGAAATAACAAAACACAACGAGAATTAAAACGTAAAAGATTTCATTTCCACGACGTATAAATATTATAAGGCGACTTGGAATACAACATTAAAAGAAAACGTCGAGAAAGTACTTACACATCTTTAAAATAATAAACAACTCTGAAATGGTTTTATTACTTGGCGACGCTGAAAAGAACGAAATATTATTTGGGTTTCAAATTGAACGATACGACCGAAAGATACATGAAAATATTTTTCAAACATATATGAGGAGATTTCAATATATTACATACACGAGGGGATTTCAATATACAACAAAAAATCAATGAATTGCAAATGCTACAATACAAACAGTTACATTATACTCTTATACAAAATGTTTTATACGATGTACCTCTACAGTAGTTCATTTAATGTCTATTTACTTTTTTTGATAAAACGTTTTGGCTTAAACTTAAGAAAATATGGTAAAATTGTAAGGAAAACAATAAAAGCAGTTTTATTTTTCCACGCAAACAGTTATATATACTGATTTATGAAGTGTATATGAAGTGTTTTAAAACATGAGTAAAATAATTTTGTTTTTGACAGAATTTTTGTTAACAATTAAAAATAATTTTATTATGTTTATTATTGTTTATTTATAATAAAAATCAATTTTTTAACATTTTCTCTGCAATAAAGTTAAATATTTATCTTTTTGTATTAAATCGGTATTAAAATTGAAAATTAAAATATTAAAATGTATTGAAATGACAATAATTTACAGTCGTTGAGTTGCGCCAAATGTAGGCAACTTACAATTATTGTAAGGAACGTTGAAAAATCTTTTCAAATAATATTTCCTTAAAGTAAGGAATTAAATTCAATAATATTAACATCTCAAATTCAAAGTAATGATTCAAAATGAATTTCATTGTTTATTGGAAATCGAGTATAAATGTTGATTCGCGGTAATTAGTTTTACGATGTACAAAACAAATGGTAATAGCCCAAAAACTATTTTGTAGATAGTAATCTTTATAAATCTTTATTATTCTTTATAAAAATCCACAAAACCTAAATAAAGTATATTTCAATCTGATTTAAATAATAATATATATATATATATATATATACATATATATATATATATATATATATATATAATATATATATATATATATATATATATATATCCGGTTTTTTAGGCGTTACGCCCGTCCGGTAGGGATCTATGGAGGAGTATCACCGAGCCGCAAGCCCTTATCTCTTGCCTTACTGCTCCACCATAGGCCGATCAGATCCCAGCATATCCTAGTCTAGGCCGCATATTCATCTAGAATTTTAAACTGCTGCGTTAGACTTTTTGTTTTCTGTACACCGAGCTGGGGCTCGATCCCACATCCACTGAACCATTCGACAGTGAAGCGAATGAGAGGCAGCCGCACAGCCCGCTGAGCTATCTGACCGACGTAATAATAATAATAAATATAACACCATAAAAAACTCTCAAAGTCGTAACAAATCCCCACGTTACCTTTTTCGGAAACACCAACGGTACACTCATATATAAATAATTATACACTAATGACAGTCAACCATGAGATATCAGATATTAATTTTTACTTCTTACAATTAATAACAAATGCCAAGATTTAAGCTCGGCGAGGTCCTGGAATCAAGGCAGATATGAGCTACTCCAATGCATTTTGCAAGATAAAATTGAAGAGAAAAGAGACCCAGGACGAAGAAGAATATCCTGTCTTGCTAACCTGAGAGCATGGTATAGAAAGACCTCAACACAGCTATTCCGTATAGCAACCAACAAAGTCATCATAGCCAGAATGATCTCCAACGATCGGACAGGCACCCTAAAAAATAAAGGTCCTGATAGACCTACCTAACAAGCATCAAAAAATCGATTCGGTTAATAAAACTTTCAATCACTAATAAGAAAATCACAAAATAGAGAAGAATTTGCAGAAGGCATCTTCAATCTTCTCTAGAAGAGAGCACCTGAAAAACAAAAAGGAAAAAATGCGGTAGGAAAAAGTGGAAATGTGGTTTGAAGATAAATGCTGGAAAAACTAAATGCATGGCAATAAGAAAGTACTTTTAAGACTACAACTGTAAGTAGATAATGCTCCAATCGATCAAGTAAAAACATTTAAATACTTAGGAATGATGATGAATGACCAATGGGATCCTCAACAAGAAATAAATTGCCGCACCGAACAAGCAAAACAAATGATGTTCTTGTGTATTAAGGTATAAAAAAGTGCTTAATAAAAGCTTAAAACTTTATTTAAAGAAGATCTAGAATTTAAATCGAATAGAAGATTCGGAATTTAAATCATTCCGTCATCAGTTTAATAAAAAGTTGTTAAAAACATTGGTTGGTCACAAAAAAAAACGCTGGAAGGACATCAATAATAAAAAATCCTCGTGGAATTTACAAAGGTGAATGCAATAGACCATTAACTTCAGTGTTAATTAAAAAATATATTCAAGAGGTACACTAGCCACTCCTGGATATCTCCACTTCATGGTTTTGTTCCAGTTTCATTTTTAACAAGCCTTTGTCCAATTTAAACCGCTACTGTGTAACCGCACTCTTTCCTTCAATCTCCGCTACAGGATGGTTAAGCTATGTATGGTCCATATTGTTATACGGCATGGAAACATGGACGTTAAGAGTACCTTTCATTAATAAGTTGGAGGCCTGCGAAAAGTGGACGTTGCGAAGAGTATTCCGTATACCATGGACAGATAGTTTGAGAAACGAAAAAGTCTTAAGAAAGTCAAATACTGAGAGAGAACTACTCAATTTGATCAAGGTACGAAAAATTTAATATTTCGGCCATAATTTAAGAGAAAAAAATACGCAATCACATACGACAAAAAAACACATGTCATGGCTACGGAACATAAAGGACTGAATAGGCATAAATAACACTGGCGATCTTTTGCATGCCGCAAAAGATAGACGTCCGGCCTTAGGATAATTCGCCAACGCACTATAAGTGCACAACACTACAAGAATTCTTTAGGTCAGTCGCTAAATGTTTTATATCACATGTGTTGTAAAACCAAGTTTTTAAGAAACATAATAAACATTTTTACCGATTTTATTATCAAACGTTTATAAGGTAGAATATTTTATTGCTTATGCTTACCAACTTCATGTATTATAGGAAGCATTCCTTTCAGCTTTCCTGAGGTAAAAGCTGGAGAAAGCTGAGATCTATGTTTTTTCCATTTAGGGTTAGGCATGAAAAATAAGAAGTTTGACTCTACTTCATTGTGATTTGGAAATGCGAATGTTCTGTCAGAAAAATTGCTAAAATCTTTTATCATTATATTTTTGATTATTTCTGGAGATTTAATTACTAGTTTCGGTTCGTCAAAAACAAAAATTCCAAAGTAAGGTTGTTTAGCTGCTCTGTTATACTCATCACGTAGCCATTCTCCTATAGTTGATTTCATTGTAGCTACAGCTTTGAAATTACCAAAAAATGGCACAGGTTTTCGATGGAACACATTGCGTTTTTTCCAGTAGTTAAAATTTCTGGTGAAATATACGTAGAGCAGTGTTGATAATATTGCAGAGAAAGCAAAAACGTCTACTATCCATGATGATGTTAACAGCATCTAAAAATAATAGAAATAAACAAAATTATTTTGTAACTATTTTTTATAATCAGAATTCAAATCAACAAAGAAAGAAATACAAGAAACTTTAGATTGGTTTAAGACTCAAAGATTTGTTTATTTGCGCTCTAACCATAAGGGTTATTAGCGACCAAAAAAATATAATACAGGTGAAGTTAGAGAATATTACAATAATTGATACAGTCCTGAGTCTTTAAGATAAATTATTGTGTTTTTAATGTTCATGTTTTTTCCTAAGGCTTCCTTTATATTATTTGGGATAGTGTGCTTCTTTCTTGCTGCTTCATATATTTTGTACTGAGTTAGTACATGCTTCACGGAGAGTGTTAATTGACAATTTTCACACATTGGCGGCACAGTTCGCGTAAAGAGGTGTTTATGTGTAAAGTTACTGTGTCCTAGTCACAAACGTGTTATTTTCACTTGGTCGTGTCTATTTGCTGTGGGTTGGAGCCACGGTTTCACTAATTGTTTGATTTCCTTGAGTTTATTATGTAATGCACTCCACTTGTTTTGCCACGCACTTAACATTTTATATTTTATTTCTGACTTGAAGTCATCTGAAGAAACCTCATTAATAAGAATGGAGTCCTGGCTGAAGGATGCTCAGCGGGCTAGTTCATCTACTTCTTCATTTCCTTGTATACCTGAATGTGATGGAATATATATGAAGTCAAAGGTAATCTTATTATTATTCAGAATATTTATTTTTCATTGGATATGTGAGACAATAATTGGATTATTGGTATATAAACGTTTGATAGTGTGAAGTGAGCTTATTGAATCTTTTATGTAGACAAGTGCTTATAATATTGCAAACAACTCTGCAGTGTAAGACGAAGTACTGGGATTAAATTTAAATTTTAAGGATGTTTTGTGTATAACGATGGCTGCACCAACACCGTCTGATGATTTGGATGCGTCAGTGTATATTTTATAGTGATTTTTATAAGTTTTCATTTCTACTAAGTATGATTGTTTGATCAAGTCTGGTATAGTCTCACTTTTTTTATATATACTAAGGTTAGTATTAATCTTGGGAATTGGTATTAACCAAGGTGGAGATGTTAGGAAATTTGTTGGAAAAATTTCAGGAAATTTTGTAGGTCATGAAGATTTCTTCTAACTCTTTCGTAAAATGGTGTATTTAGTATTGTTGTAGTAACAGTGTCTTGAAATCGATCTGTAAGCTTATTGGTAAGTAGGGTGTTCTTTATTACTAGCTATTTTAGAAGCATATGAGAAGAAAGGTATTTGCATCGGTAACTTAGGGGTGGTTTTCCTATTAAGCATTGTAAACTTTCAACTGGTGTCGTTCGAAACGCAACTACTGTAGCTATTCATAAAGCTGTTTTAAACAGCTTTTAAAGTTTTCAATACTGATACTTTGCTTGATGAATAAACAATCGCACCATAGTCCAGTTTGGATCTAACTCAAGTTTTATATACATAATATTGTATTTTGATCTGTTCCCCAGTTTTTGCTGGAAAAAATTTTCATAAAATGTAATCCTGCTTGGCATAATTTTTTAAGTTCTTTTGTATGTTTTTCCAGGAGAGCTTTTTGTTGAAAACAATACCTAAAAATCTGATATAATTTGTTAATCTAAGAGCTTTTTCCTTTGGCAAATAAAATTAAGTCATCAGCGTATAATCTTGCTTTTACAATCGGTGAGCATTGTTGAAGTGTGTCGTTTATGGCTATTAGAAAAAGGGTTAAGCTTATAAGTTTTTATCTTAGTTATCGTTGTCTGATCGAACTATGAAGCTGCGAGATTGCAAAAAATTTGAAATAAATTTTAACATGTTGCCTCTGATATTCCAATTATGCAATTTTGATATGAGATTTAATGGCCAGACAGTATTATAAGCTTTATTACTATCAAAAAAGACTGCGATACAAGCTTGCTTATGTGCAAATGCTTCATGTATTCCTGACTTTAAGTTTATTAGCTTATCTATAGTTGATCGATTATGCCTAAAACCGCTTTGTTGTAGAATAAGGAGTTTTTGTTGTTTTAAATACAATCTCAGCCTTTTATTTACCATTTTCTCTAAAACTTTATATATACTATTGGTTAAAGATATTGGTCGATGTGACTCAGGTGATGTTCGGAATTTTTTAGGTTTAACAAGTGGTAGTATTACTGTTTCGGATTAAGTTAATGGGAAAACTTGGTTACTCGAGATGAAATTATAAAGGTTTAGGTATAAATTTTTCTCATTGTCTAGTAGATGTAATAGAAATGCTAAGGGGATACCTTCTGGTCTCGGGCTTGAATCTTTGGAAGAGTTTAAGGCTTCAGCGAGTTCAATGAAGGAAAAAGGAAGGTTAAGGTTGAGAATCTCGTGTTCGTCGTATCCCAATATGTTTTTTTCTATGTTGTTTTTATGTATTTTAAAATTAAAGTGTAATTTTCATCACTGGAATTTAATTAGTATTGGTCTGCTAACATATCTACGATTTCCTTTCTATCATTATTTTGTTACTTTTTGCTAGAAAAGAAATATTATATGGTTGGATTTTGCTAGAGATTTTCCTATTAATGCAAATGCTGAAAAATATCGAAATAGATGACAAGGATATTCGTGTCATTAAAAGTTTGTACTGTAATGAAACTGCTATCGTAAAAATTGGAGAAAACTATACCGATGAAATCTCTATACAACGAGGTGTCAGACAAGGTTGCATTTTGTCGCCAGCATTGGTCAATGTTAACTCGGACCAGTTATTTAAAAAGGCACTTGAGAGATAACCATATGGAATGAAAATTAACGGGGAACTACTTAATGTGATTAAATATGCAGACGATACAGTAATTCTATCAGATAATATTGGATGGCTTTAAATTCTGCTTGATCGTATTCACGAGGTAGGAGAGGAAATGGGCATTAAAATAAACTCAAACAAAACCAAATTTTTAGTGTTTAGTCGTAACCCACATCCCGATGCAAAGCTTCAATTAAACGGAGTCCAAGTTGAGAAAGTTTACAAAATAACATATTTGGGAACTGTGATAATGGACCAGACTGGATCTAGACATAGAAATAAAACGTAGACTAGCAATGACTAAAACAACTTGTATGAAAATAAAGTCATTTCTTTGCAATAACCATCTCAGTTTAGAACTAAGGCAAAGAATGGTTAAGTGCTATGTTTGGTCCATACTTTTTTATAGTGCAGAAGTGTGGAGTCTAGCAAGGAAAACTAATGAAGAAATACTAAGGAGAGTGAACAAGGATATAGAACTGCTTAAGACTGTTAGAGATCGAAAAATGTCTTATCTGGGAAATATAGTAAGGGGAAGTCGATATAAAATATTACAACTGAGCCTTAAAGGCAAAATAGAGAGCAGTAGAGGTCAAAAAAGAAAACACAGGTCTTGGTTAAAACACATTCATGAATGGACTTAGATACCAAATTCAGTACAATTATTCCATAGTGCAGAAGATCTAGAAGCCTTCGTAATGGTGATCGTCAACGTCGGATAATTCTGATATGACACGCAAAGAAGAAGAATTAATATGTATTGAATCAGTGGTTGGGATTTGTGACATACTTGTTACTTTTTCCAGAGCAAGATTGAACAGTATACAGAAGAGAGGGTCTTATGGCCCAGTCCGTTATTTGTTTTAAAAGGTTCAGAGAGTTACCCCTGAATTCGTACTCTACATTCAACTTTTTCAAGAGTTATTTTTCTTATTGTTACCAACTGATTTGGTATTTCTAGTTCCTTCATTGCTTTGAACATTTCCATTATGTTGATTTACCACCTCTGAAACCAGCCTGGTATATATTCCCATAGTATCTTCGTTAGAACCGTAATTTCTCTGTGGTTAGATCATTCAAAGATATGTCCTATTTTGAATATGATGCTGTATTTTGAATTTTGCTGCTGATTTGAATATGATGCTATTTTCTTTTATAAGCTGCTGTAACATGGCCATCTTTTTTAAATAGCTGGGAGGTTTTCTATTCCGGGTGATTTGATTCTGGCTAGTTTATTAACAGCATCTTTAACTTTAAGAATCGTTGGTGGTTCCTCCTCTCTCGTGTGCTTTCCTTACTTCATCTCTTTCGTCTTTCAGATTTTCTTCTTCTTTTTTCATATTAAGTGCCTGATTAAAATATTTCAACCATCCATTTAATACACATCTTTCCTTGTTGTTTTTGCAGATTTTGCACATTTTTTGGTATCCATTTTATTTTCTTTAATGATGTTGGAAATTCTAGCCCTTAATGTTAAGGTCACTAGGCAATAATCTGAGTCTATATTTCTTCTTCTTCTTTTTCTTTGGGTGCCTGTCCGTTCCGAACGTTGGCGATCATTCTGGCTATGATGATTTTATTGGTTGCTATACGAAATAGCTATGTTGAGGTCTTTCTATACCATGCTCTCAGGTTAGCAAGCCAAGATATTCTTCTTCGTCCTGGGGCTCTTTTTCCTTCAATTTTACCCTTCAAAATGCATTGGAGTAGCTCGTATCTGCCTTGATTTCTCATAATATGTCCCAAGTACTCCAGCTTACGGCTCTTCACAATATTGACCAATTCCGCGGTTGTGTTCATCCTCCGCAGTACTTCTTCATTGGTGACTTTTTCTATCCATGGTATCTTCAGAATTCTTCTGTATAACCATAATTCAAACCTCCGGAAGTTTTGATAGAGTTTCCGCCTTCAATGTCCACGTTTCTACTCCATACAGAAGCACTGAGTATACGTAACATTTAAGGAGCCTTATTTTTAGTTTTAGGGTGAGGTCATGGCTTTTGAACACAGAGCTCATAGCCAAGAATGCACTTTTGGCTTTTCCGATGCGACATTTAATCTCTTGGGTATTGTCCCACGACTCATTGATTATAGTTCCCAAGTAATTGTATTGTGAGACACGTTCAATTCTCATTTGGTTCACATACAGATTTGCTCCAGTTATGTTTTGCTTGCTGATGATCATTAGCTTGGTTTTGCTGGTGTTTATAT